TATCTTTTTATACTTCTTTTTTATCTTCTGCTAATATTTCACCGGATTTTCTTTTTAGATGTTACATTTGAAATTATCTGTTGCAGACTGAAGTGGAGCTCGGGCAGGTGGCCCGCGAGCGCAGCGACTTTAGTCACCAGCTGGCCGTGGTCGTCCGCCAGAAGGAAGCGCTCTCGGAGGAGCTGGGCCGCGTGCGCCAGCGGCTGGAGCAGGCCAGCGAGACCAACAGCAGGCTCAACCTGAGCCTCGAGGACCTCGTCAAGGACTGCGAGGAGAAGCAGGTGGTCCTGGAGGCCAACGACAAGGACATCCAGCGCCTCCAGGAGCAGCTGGCCTCGCTTCGCAGCGAGAAGGAGGCGCTGGAGGCCGTGCTCTTCGACGCGCAGACGGGTTTGGAGGCGACGGACAACAAGCGCGCCAAGCTGGAGAAGGAGAACCAGGAGCTGCTCGTCAAGCACGAGGGGCTCAAGGGGCAGATCACCCGCCTCACCAAAGACCTGGAGAACTCGGAGAAGCGCGCCCGCGAGATGCGCGCGTCCCTGCTGCAGGCCGCCGGAAACCAGGAGGCCGAGTTCCAGCAGCAGATCGCCAAGCTTAAAAGCACAATCGAGGAGACGGTGCGCAAGCTCACCGACGAGAGGGTAAGTGACTCTAGATAGCTTTACTCGCCTGACAGACAGGCAAGCCCGCAGTGCGCCAACGCCGAGCGGGTTGGCCTGTCCGGCAAAGCGGCCACCGCCTGCAAAGTAGGCAAGCCCGCAGGACATTTGTGCCGGGCGGGCTGGCCTGTTACCACGCGGCCACCGCCTGCGAAGCGGGCAAACCCGCAGTGCACATATGATGGGCTGGCTGGCCTACCTCTGAAGGCGGCCACCGCCTGCGAAGTAGGGAAGAAGGCAATCCCGCAGTACACATGCGCCCTTTGTCCAGGAGCAAGTTCGTGCCGCGCTGGAGAAGCGCCTGCAGAGTGCCGTGACCCAGCTGACCAACGAGAAGGAGGCGGAAGTGGCCGCCCTCCAGGAGAGGATCGACGCGGCACAGCAGCACCTGGAGAACGTGTGCCAGCAGCACGAAGAGGCGCTACTCCGCGCCGAGAACGACAAGCAGCAGTCGCTGCTTCTGGGTAAGCTCGCGCGGCGAGAGAAATCTGTTTGTCCTCTATCCGTATCGCTTTCATCCCTTCTGACGCGTCATTTTTGTTTTTGGCATTCCCCAGCGCAACACGACCAGCAGGCGCTGCAGGAGAAGCTGGAGTGCGTGCGGCGCGAGCTGGAGGAGGAGCGCGGCGTGCTGGAGCGGGTGCGGCGCGAGGCGACGGCGCGCGCCGAGCAGGACCGCGCCACGCTCAACCAGCTGCGCGACGAGCTGGCGCGCGTGCACACGCGCCTCGAGGACTTCAAGTGCAAGGCGGAGGAGGACCGCGCCCGCTTCGACGCGCGCGCCGACGAGCTGCTCCGCGAGCGCGACCTCTCGCAGCAGGAGAGCGAGGAGCTCAAGGTGCAGCTCAGCCTGTCCGAGGACCGCGTCGACCAGGTAACCAACACTATTAGCAACTTTATTTTTCAAATTTTTCAATAATTTTGTTGTTGTAAGTCTCTTAGTTTTGGGCTAAGAAGTTTCATTTTCTACATTTTTTCTGGAAATACTTTAAATTTTTCCAATTTTTTTCGGAAAAAAATTCTACCTTAAAACCAAAAAATAAGATGGACTGACATTTCCAGTCGCAATTTGTAGTTTCACTGTAAACTTGTACTGAAACTGTAATTCCCTCTCCAACTAGGTCCAGGCACAGCTGCAGGAGACGCTGCGCAAGCTCAAGGAGACCGAAAACGTGAGCGAGTCGCTGCGGAAGGACCTGACGGACGTCCGCCGCCAGCTCAGCGACTGCAGCTTCGAGAAGGACAAGTACTGCAGCACCAACCGCGAGCTGCGCGAGATCGTCAAGCGGCTGGAGGGCGACAAGCGCGAGGCGGCGCGCGGGCTGGACGAGGCCGTGCAGAAGATCGCCATGCTGGAGGAGGCGCGCGGCGCGCTCGACCTGGAGCGCACCCGCCTGCAGGCGCAGGTGCGCGACCTGGAGCACGCGCACCTCACCGTGCAGCACAACCTGCAGACGGTGCAGGACGAGCTGGCGCGCACGCAGGCCGCCAACAAGCAGGCCGCCGGCGAGGAGAAGGAGCTGCAGGCGCGGCTGGCCGTGGAGACCGAGGAGCGCGAGCGAGCCTCGCAGGAGCTGCACCAGCTGCGCAAGCAGGTGAGTGGCGCGGCGGGCCGGAGACTATCCCGACCAGAGCCGTGCGGTTAGGCAGCCCGGCCGGCTGGCGTGGTGGTTGTGCTGCTGAATACCCCGGGGCCGTTTGAGCCGATCAGCCACTAGGGTCGAAGAAAAAAATGTTCCTGACATTTTTAAAGACCAGTGTTTAATAGAAAACAACATTCCTGGATTTATGTGATTGCTAAGTAATTGTACAGGGTACAGTAATAACGGTTTTTGTTTCGTTTTGATTTACTTCGACTTCCGTGGTTTTAAGAACGTCATTCTGTTCTAGTTACATTTGTACGGTTTCCGGAAAAAAAATAATATACAAGAGATATAAAATGTACCGCAAAAACAAAAACAAACTCAGATCCGTGGATACTTCTTCCAGCAAGCACTGTTGTTTTTCTTTTTCGGATTTGTCGATTAACATATACATGATTAATGTCTGGTTCGTTGAATCTGGTTGGCCCCGGCACCGTTTGCGCCCACGCCCTCACTCACACCGCCACCGTCTCGTTCACCGCAGGCCGTGGAGCTGGACGGCGCGCTGGAGATGGCCCGCCAGGAGATGGCGCGCCTGCGCTCGCGCGCCGAGGAGGAGGGCGAGCGGTGGCGCGCGCGCGAGCAGGAGCTGGTCATGCGCCTGGAGGACAGCCGCAACCGGGAGCGCAAGCTCGAGGACCAGAAGCACAACCTGGAGGTGTGCCTGGCCGACGCCACGCAGCAGATCCAGGAGCTCAAGGCGCGCCTGGGCGGCGCCGAGGGCCGCGTGCGCGCCCTGGACCAGCAGCTGCTGCAGCTGGAGGCGGCCAAGAAGGACGCGGACCAGAAGCTGAGCAGCGTGGGGTCGACGCTGCGCCGCATCGCCGGCATCCAGCTGGACGGCAGCGTCAGCCTGCCCTTCCGTCTGCTCAGCCCGTCGCGCCGGTGGAGCCCCGCCAGAGGTGAGTGAGGCGGGCGTCTAAATGTCCCGATTGGATGCGGCCGTGTGGTGCATCCCTTAGGTTCTGACCGTACGGCGTACACCGACCTTTCCACTTTTTCTTATTTTTCGACATTATGCTCGTTTTTGACCGAAACCGCGCCACTCTGTGTAAGTGGAAGAACGAGTGTTGTGCAAGTTAGTGGCCAGTGGCCAGCCTTAATTCCTCCTCTCCAGTAATCCGTTTGACTTAAGGTCGACTTTTTTCTCCAGCTACTCTGTCATACTTGTGCTGTGACTTAAAATTGGTCATGTAAAAATCGCGTACTATCTACGTGCTGTATTTCCCGGACACGGTGGGCTCTGTCTGAATAGCGCTTTGTTTCTGATCCCATTGCTGTAGCAGTCCAAGAGCACCACGACGGCCGAGGCGACAGCGTGGTTGATGTGGACCCGGAGGTGATCCGCAAGGGCGTACGCTCCCTCATGCAGCAAGTGGCGCAGATCGAACGAGAGCGGGTACGATGTCGTCCTCGAATCCATGGAGTACACTTTCCACCAGACGAACGCACCCTGATGCCCCTTTTCCTCTCGTTCCAGGACGACCTGAAGGCCCAGGTGACCGCGGCCAAAAAGCAGCTGGCCGAGACGCAGGAGCACCAGTCCAAAGGAGACACGAAACTCAACGCCACGCTGCAGAACCTGTCCCGCCTCCAGGAGGAGAAGGGCAGCCTGGAGAACCGGCTGGGACAGAAGCAAGCAGCGCTCCAGGTAGGCGTGTCCGTCCGGCCCGGGCCGTGGCCGTGCTGGCTGTGGTCGGCCGCTGCTGGGCGGCAGATTCAAATTAGATTAATTGCAATGTATCCCCCTTCGATACCCTTGCCCCACACGCGAGTAACTCACTCCCTTGCTAGCCTTGCCGTCGCCGCGATGTCGCCCTCGGGTGTTCTGGCAGCAGCCACGCATAAACAAAACACTTTCTCCAAAACATAGCTCTTATAAAATTGATCATTTTGCGACGTCGTCCTTAGGCCCAATCGGAGACACTGCAGCAGCGCACCGAGGAGGCGACGCAGCTGCGCGAGCGTCTGACGGCGCTGGAGCTGACGCTGCACTCGGGCGCGGAGGAGCGCGCCGTGTGCGAGGACAAGCTGGATAAGGTGCGGGCCGCGTGCGGCCGCCTGGAGGCCGAGAAGCGCGCGCTGCAGGAGGAGCTGGGCCGCACCGAGTCGCGCGCCACCAAGCTCGAGCTGCAGCGCATGGGCCTGGAGGGTGACCTGCAGCGGCTGCAGATGGTGCTGCAGGAGAAGGACTCGCATCTGGCGGTGAGTGGACGTGTTCGCCCCCTCTCGAGAATGGTGGGGCAGTACTGTAAAACATTTCATTAAAAAGTTA